TTATTATTATTATTATTATTATTACTATTATTCTTGCAGTGGCGTTGGATAACGTGTTAGCGGACGTGCGGGAGTTGGAGCGAGGCATGGAGCTAACGTGGCGCCCCCTGATGCTTATTTATTATTATTATTATTGTTATTATTATTATTATTATTATTATTACTATTATTCTTGCAGTGGCGTTGGATAACGTGTTAGCGGACGTGCGGGAGTTGGAGCGAGGCATGGAGCTCACGCGGAGGGAACACGACCAGCATCGAGACTCCAAGAAGTTTCCCGTCCTTCGCGTCTTCCTCTCCGCGACCGGAGAGAGACTCAAGAAGCTGACGCACGACGCCAAGATCGCAGAGGTGAGAGGTCCGGTCGCCGTGGCAACGGCGTCGTTTGCGACCGTCTTGTGGTTGAAACTTTGAGACACCGCCCCTATCTAATCTAGATGTTACGGATCGTACATATCTGATGTGACGGATGATGGGGGACGGAGGGGGAATAATAACTCAATTGTCGTATTGTATGTTGATTATTGCTTGTTGGAAAATGTGGAAAGTCTTTGAATTTTGGAAGAAAATGACGCTTTTGCGGGTTTGGAATGTCGTGGGAAATGGTTTTGGAAATTTCTTCGAAATTGTGCTCGTGTTTATTTTGCCTGATACCTAATGAAATCTTATTTAACTGTCAATGATAGTTTGTTCAGTAATCACTGGATATTCGAGACAAAATGGTTGTGGTGTCAGGATGCCTATAAGGAATGTATAGAGTCCTTCTCCCTCTCCTCCTCCTCCTCCTCCCCCCTCCTCCTCTTCCTCCTCCTCCTCCTCCTCACGTGCAACATTAACGCTTGGTTTTGTGTGTGATTTCAGGATGCCTACAAGGACTGTATAGAGTTCTTTGGTGAGAGTGCGATTGCGATGGCTCCCACAACCTTCTTTGCTCTCTTTGCGCGCTTCGTTCAAGCCTTCAAGCAGGCGTTGATAGACAACGAACAGAGGAAGAAAGCCGAGGTATGCAGGCCGGGAAGCATCCTAGATGTTCTTGTCGGTCGGATGTTCTAGTCTTTCTCAGAGTCTCCTCCTTTTCCTCCTCCTCCTCCTTCGCTTCCTTCTCCCCATCCTTGTTGATAACAACATTAACAGCAACATCATCAACAACAACAACAACAACAACCACCACAACAACAACAACAACATCATCAACATCGCCAACATCAACATCAACAGCAATAATATCAATGGCAGCAACAACAACATCAACAACAACAACACCATAGCAACAACAACAACAGCATCACCAACATCAACAACATCAGCAACAACATCACCAACAACAACAACAACATCACCAACAACAACAACATCAGCATCAACAACAACATCAACAACATTATCAACATCACCAACATCAACATCAACAGCAATAATATCAATGGCATCAACAACAACATCAACAACAGTGAACCGAATAACTGTATAGTATTGTAGACGACTGTTATTAGACTATTACGAATCGTTACTCTTGTGTTTTCGAAAGGCTGCTAATGCGCCGCCCGCATGGCTACGCATGGCGCCCCCTTCACGACGTTCTTGTGTTTCTTACAGGAGGCGGCAAACGCCCCGCCCGCTCAGGCGGAGGTCGTTAAGAAGAATCGCGCAAACGTGAAGATGCAGCAGAACATGCTGATGAACGAACTGAAGAAGAAGGTTGCCAAGGGCAACGAGAAGCAGCTTCTGTCTCAGGACGAACTTTACCACGGCGCCGTCGATGACATCATCAACGGTACGGTGGCGCCACCGCTGTCGCTGTTGATACCGCGTCAATGCACGCAGCCTCTCGCGCGTGGCTCACTCACTCTCTCTCTCTCTCTCTCTCTCTCTCTCTCTCTCTCTCTCTCTCTCTCTCTCTCTCTCTCTCGCTGTATGTCTCTCTCTCTCTCGGTATTCTTAGTACGTTAGTTCCTAGTACGTTCCTGTAGGTGTTGCATCTTCTATCCCACGATGTGTGTGTGTCTACTGCGATGGGTTCGGGTCTATCGGGTGTATATCTACTGCTAACCTGTCTTAACGGAGAGCGAGGATTCACCAGCGATTCTCGTTTTTTGTTTCCGCAGTAAAAGGTGGACAGGTGGCAGCACTGGGTCTCGCCGGAGAAGGAGGAGGAGGCGGCGGAGGAGGAGGAGGAGGCGGCGGCGGAGGAGGAGGAGGACCGGGGGGTGGGGGAGCACTGCCGCCCCCACCCACGCCGGCGGCGCCCCCCCCCCCCCCCCCCCCCCGCCCCCCCCCGCCCCCCCGCCCCCGCCGGCCCCCGGACCGCCCCCTCCCCCCGGACAGATGGCAGCACCTTCCGGAGGTATGGAATTCGAATTTTTATTTTATTATTATTTATCTATTTATCTTGTTTTTTATCTATTTTTTTTTCATTTTACCTCGACGTTCGACGACATTTAATCCAATTAATGGTTGATGCAGATTTTCTAGCTATGTTTACGTGTGTTGGGAAATTTTTGATAAACCGCATTTGTTCAGTCTCATGCGATTCATTTTCTGACTAAACTGTTACGAACGCCTGCGTCTGTGAGCTGTTAGAAGGATTACAGATACGACGTCGCTCATTGAAAGTCACGTCAAAACAAGAATCGCGTCGTTAAAAACAAAAGTTGTCATCGTCGTGTGACAGTGTGACACTGACACACAGTTGACTGATATAAATTTCAATAAATATCTCTTGTCAATAAATTCTCATCTAAATTCCAATTCAAATCCAAATAAAAAAACATCTCGGTATCATCTGTGTCACGCCATGACTCACCACCTGCGGCCGCACGTGATTGGTTGATTGTCCGTTCTCTTGCCCGCAGCAATGACAATTAAGCGGAGAATCCAGACGAAGTATCGTCTACCGATGTTCAACTGGATCGCGTTGAAGCCTCAGCAGCTGAAAGGAACCGTATTCAATGAGCTAGACGATGACAAATTACTCAACGTAAGTCACTGCTAGCGCCATCTACTGGGCAGGGAAGTTGCTCTTGCTTGCTCTCTCTCTCTCTCTCTGTCTGTATCTCTCCCCCTCTCTCTCGCTCTCTCTCGCTCTCTCTCTCAGTCTCTCTCTCTCTCTCTCGCGCTCGAATCGGACCAGTCAATTTCATTGCGTGTTAGATTATTCCTTCAGCAACTTCACGCCAGTCACAAAACTTGTGTAAATATACCAAAGTAGATTGGGGTGTATGTTAGGCAGTCCAAGTCGTAAAATAAAATCGATCGATCAATCAATCGTGTTTAATTATTCTTCAGCAACTCCATGCCGTCACGGCTGCGTCACGCTCTGTGAGGAACTCCGCTCGTGTGCGAAAGATGCTAGAGGTGAGGCACTGGTCACGCCACACGCCACGGCCCCCTCAACCTCTCCCCTCCCGCCGATGATACATAGCACATCATCAACTACCTCCCAGCCACACCGCCACCCAATACACGTCACACAGAAACCGCCCCCCCCCCCCAAATCGTTGCATACATGCGTTAGAGGTACAGGCATTTGGTGTCATGGTTTTGTGTACATGCTGTGCGGTAAGTTTGTTAATTTTCTTCAAAATCAACATATAGAAGTCTAAGATCTTCGTGAGCAACTAAAGAATCACGCATGCCCTCTCTGGCGTTTATTTCTAAAATCTATAGCAGTGATTCATCGCGTCGGTTGTTGCGTGATACTGCTTTCAGCCGATGATTCGTACGATCCGTGTCTAATATAAAATCCATGTAACCGATTTCTAATGCTAATCTAATTCTGTATCTCTCTCTCTCGCTCTCTGTCAGATAATCCTGGTCTTTGGAAACTACATGAACAGTAACAAGAGAGGTGGGCCCCAGTGTCCAATGGATTCAGAACGTAGCAGAGTCTATATAATGTACACCCAGTGTTGCTTAGTATTGGTCTGTAGCAGAAGACACGCATACATTACATGACAGGCAGTACTGAGCCCTGTAAGTGGTTTGGGTAGCTCAGTGGTTGTGGTTCGTAAGCAAAAGAGCTGCTAATAGCCTAGAATGATGAAATGATGACAAATGATGATGTTGTGCATTAGACTGTCCATGGATTATTGTTTTTGTTTTTGATGATTGTTACCATTGTTGTTATTGAGTGACGATGGCGGTGATGATGACGATGATGACTGCTGCTGCTGGTTCTGGTGATGATGTTGATGATGATGATGATGAAATACGATGACGAACGACGACGACGAACATTCTGATGATTATTCGCGTCACGATGCTGGATGTTGTTTTAGTTGGTTGCTGTTTTGGTTGTTTTTGTTGGTTGATTGTTATTCTTGTGTTGTTTGTTGTTGTTGTTGTTTGTTGGATGATGATGATGAGTGATGAGTGGATGAGTGAGTGATGTGTTTGGAGTGATTGGTTATTTTCGCTGTATGACCAGGCTCTATGGATGAGGCGGAGAGAGGTCGCAAGATAAGAAGGTTACCTTGTTAAATTTCATCGCTCACACAGTAAAGACGAAATTCCCAGAACTGCTCAACTTTGATACGGAGCTTCGCTTTATAGAGAAGGCAGCACAAGGTACGTGGGAGGGGGAAACCATGCACATGCTCTTAGTGGTCACAGTGGTGTTATTGATTATTGATCGATTGATTGATTATGTGTAGTGGTCTTGTCCGTGTGATTGTTTTCGTGATTATTTGTTATTGATAGTTTTGAGGTTATTGGTTTCTGATTGTGCTACAGTTATTGATTATTGGTTAATTCATAAGTAGTGATTATTGATTGTTTTTGCAGTTGTTGATCGTTTCTTATTTTGCAGTTATTGATTATTGATTGCTTTCACGGCGCCAGCGCGGTGCCCTGTTCATTGCTTATTGAACTCTCACTTCGGCAGTGTGAGGGGTGGTACTGCTGTCATGGGTTTGCACATGAGCAGCATTTGGTGAAAATGGTCTGTAGAGCAGATATACATATCAGTTTTTATCATCTGATAAATATTGTCTATTTAGTAATTTTGTCTATAGTCCGGTAGTTGAAGGTGAATAAGATCGAGGTGCCCTACGCACCGCAGAAAAATGGTATAATAAGATTATTTTTCTCACCAGAAGTGAGGCAGGAGTGTGAATCATATAACAAGCGATATCCAATAATGCCGCAAATATCGGCTCTTTGAATCATCTTTGCACATTTTTGGCATGTTTTGTAATGGGAATGACCGCCATGGCAAAGGGCTTGTCAAGTGATATAGTGGGACACATACCTGGTGAAAAAAGTTGCGGGTTTTGTGTATAAGTCACAAAGAAATTGGCATGCAGTGCGAAGTTTAAGGGGTATACTAAATGATTTTTTAAATAATGCCAAGCTAATTCTTTTCCGTAACTATATATCGCACTATTTTAAGTACGATCGTACCTGTGTTATCGAATACCTTTATAGAACGGCCAACTGTCTGTGAAGGACACCAATGTTTTCCCTTTGATGAC